CAAGATGCGGATCACGTGGACTTGTACTTTGCGGCTGCGGTGCCTGCAGTCGGGCTCTCGTGCGGTTTCTGGGAGGTACTGGCAGGTGCGTGACTGAAGACATAGGACCTCCAAGATGCGGATCACGTGGACTTGTACTTTGCAGCTGCGGTGCCTGCAGTGGGGCTTTCTTGCGGTTTCTGGGAGGTACTGGCAGGTGCGTGACTGAAGACATAGGACCTCCAAGATGCGGATCACGTGGACTTGTACTTTGCGGCTGCGGTGCCTGCAGTGGGGCTCTCGTGCGGTTTCTGGGAGTTACCGGCAGGTGCGTGACTGAAGACATAGGACCTCCAAGATGCGGATCACGTGGACTTGTACTTTGCGGCTGCGGTGCCTGCAGTGGGGCTTTCTTGCGGTTTCTGGGAGGTACTGGCAGGTGCGTGACTGAAGACATAGGACCTCCAAGATGCGGATCACGTGGACTTGTACTTTGCGGCTGCGGTGCGTGCAGTGGGGATCTGGTGCGGTTTCTGGGAGGTACTGGCAGGTGCGTGACTGAAGACATTGGACCACCAAGATGCGGATCACGTGGACGTGCACTTTGCGGCTGCGGTGCCTGCAGTGGGGCTCTCCTACGGTTTCCAGCAGAATGGAGAGGTACTGGAACTGGTCCTGCGGTTCCAGGATTGTGTGACGGCACGTCCTTAGCACTTGGGCGAGTGTCCCTCTGAAAAAGGGACCAAAGACAGAATATTCCAAATCAGTACCGCGGAACCAAACTAAACGTGTGATCTCCTGCTAACAGTTATTTGACAGTATTAAGATCACTCAGCTAGGTGTATAATCTGAAAAATAATCAGGTGACTTTAACTCTCTCTAAGATGGATACCAACTCCAATTGTCTGTTTCAGTGTAGTGTCGATCTTACTAGTATATAGAGTTTAGTTACAGTAGAATGATTGGAAAACTGCAGAGAAGAGACCAGCACCCGGTGTGCCGGTTGAACAAAAAGAAACCCTTTTACAAAGACAGAACGTCAGTCGCTGAACCAGTCTTCTGTTGACTGGTCAGTTCCAAGCCTCAAGCTCCATGTTTGCTTTAAATGCGTAACAAGGCTCTACTCAGTACAGCGAGAACGTTGACATTTTTATGTCACTAAATATCACAAAGGTCTCCTCAGCGAGGAGAGTGTACTTAAAAAAGATTCAAACAACTTTCTGAAAGGTGATAAACGTAAGTAAATTTCAGGTCGTTTCCTAAACCACAGATACTTCGGAAACGGATTATTCGAGCAGTAAATACCAAACTCAGGAAATGTTACACTCGATTTTCTTTAGCAAATGTTGATGACCAACCTGTTGCTTTTGCGGCAGTGATTCATTTGATGAGTGAGAAAAGAGACTGGGGAACCGCCTTTTCCAATAGTCTTCTGACGGCCATATATGATCTGGCCTGGTGTTCCCGTAATCATCCCAAGACAAATCACAAAATAACAATTAACACAATTCCCCTTTGAAAGCATCGTCTAAAAAATCGACAGTGTACTCATCTTAAAACCTTTGTTTCAGTGATGTGCAATTTAAGGGTAAAAATAACCGTACTAAGTGAAGGCAGCGAGGATGCTCATTGGACAATTAGAATTTTACCCTTACATGTAGCGGACCTCTTAGGAAACTTAAGGTCATGGTTTGTGATTTGTGATTATTGGATTTTGATCCGTTTTGTGTATTTCGAGGTTCGTTGCTTTTAAAATTCAGAGTTAGGTCGTGTGTTTTTGAAAAGCGGAGTAAGTTTTACCTTAGCTCTAAGGGTGCATTCGATTGGGAAATCTGGATATAGATTTTAAAATCCGGATTTCGGATTTGCAATCGAACGCGAAATCCAAAAACGGATTTCAACGCTGAGAGATCCGTTTTTGGATTTTCATTTTTACCGTTGGATTGGGAAATCCGAAAAAGGATTTGAAAAACTGTCCTTAAGAACAGCGGTCTTGCACGCGCACGCATACTTAGCAAAAAGAAGACCACTGTTCACGAGGATAGTTTTGCAAATCCTTTTTCGGATTTCCCAATCGAACGGTAAAAAGGAAATCCCTGAAATGCGGATTTGGATTTCTTAATTGAAATCCACCCTGAGGACGGATTTCTCGGAGGTGAAATCCGTTTTCGGATTTCGCGTTCGATTGGAAAATCCGGATTTAGATTCTGAAAATCTAAATCCGGATTTCCTAATCGAACGCACCCTAAGTCTTTTTAATCTTCGTTATACTGAAACATGGCAAGTTTAGATGGTTCGTACAGAGGTTCCAAGTCTAGAGGAAACACAGATATGGGAGAGTGAAAACGAATCGGTACGTTCCCGCCAACATTTACTTCGTTATTGCCACCTTTATTTGACAAACACAATGGATGCTACGGTAACGATTTGATTGACGTCGCAGAAAAACCCAAAATCCTGAAACGTTTTTGACAACGTAGGTCGCGTGTTATCCGAAACAACTGTAAAAAATGGCTTTGAAAGGACTGATCGTTACCCGGCCTCATTACCTCTTTAAGGGACAAGCGTTCCAGCTGGAGCAAATCTTGAATCTCAGTCTGTGGCCACATCTCCTATGGAGTAAACAAAGAAAAACATACGGTTCACCACGCAGAAAAGTCAGTTCAAAACTTTTATACCGTGGTTAATACAGCAAAATACCATTTTTTCAAGATTTGGCCAAACCAAAAAGGTACGCCTCTTTCTAAAGAGAAACATGTCAGTCAAAGCGACCCCTCTTGACCAACCCCGTTTCATCTTTGTTTGTTAATAATGTCACCCAACTTGCTTTCTATTAATCAGTGGCATTTTTGTTCTTTTAATCTTCATTACGGGTGTTAGTGTCCTGCAGGTGTCTTACATTGTTAGAGTCCAGCGAGGGTGAATGACGCTCTAATCAACAGGTTTGAGGCGTCTGATCCACACAGGCATCCCAGGAAGGATGAATACTGACCAAAGTCGTCAAAACCTTCCGACCACGAAAATATAGGTACCACGTTGAGGTCTGACACTCTTGGGGCTAGCAATGCTCAATAACATTCCTATCAACAACTTTGTAATTGAGTAAACGACTGATCCATAAAGTCGTTCTCAATAATCCTTAACACTGTTTCAAACTAATATACAAGAACAGCTATGTGAATCCGGCCCAGCGCTCTTGCCCGGCCTCATTACCTCATCAATGGGTTCGTCCTGTGTGACTGTAGAAGGGCCAGGGCCACTGATGAGATACGAATCGGTAGCCAAGAATCCTCCAGGTGTAAAGATGGTGGATGTGGCACTGTGATGGTGGGTGTGGATATCTGGAGGTACCAGACCGTGCCTGGATCCATGCGCTGTAGGAATAGATGCCTCTGTTAACATCGGTTCAACTGTTAAGGGAAAAGAAGGTAGAAATTAGCATCCCACGAGTAGGAATGGACGGCCCTGCTAACATTGGATCAGCTTAAAGAATAAATAACGATTCCACGTCACATAACGTATAAAGGAAACCATCGATTTCAGACGGATATTTAGACTTCTAGAATATTTATTCTTTCTTAATGTTATGCCCCCTCGTTTTACTACCTAAGTTTAAATAATCATAAGTACAAACATCGCTCTCTTTAGGTAACACCGGAAAATGTCTACATTAGACAGGATCCTTTCCTTTTAAACTTCCTCAGTGACAATCTAACGTACTTTTCGTTTCTAAATATGGCAGCAAGGCCAGGTGCGTTAAATGCTTATGCCGGGTAGTGCTGCGTAGAGAACCTTTTTGGTCTATAAACAAACTAATGAATAAACATAGTCCTTAACGTCCGATTTCTGTCATCAAAATTACGGACAGAATGTGACAACAGCAACTTGTCGCAGGTCTACACCGCAATTATTAAAAAGAAGGCAATATCACAAACCAAAACTGACTTTTGAGCGCAACGAAGTTATGCACAACTTCTTATTAGTGCTCAGGGCGTTAATCGCCAATAGGTTTTGTTACATCTGTGATTGGGAAGGCAGGGAACTGGGGGGCAGGGGGAGGGGGCTGGGGGACAAGAAAGCTTACCGGTAGGATCAGGAGGCGCTGAAAGTGTTCTTCTCACGGTGTCTTGATCGTCAGCGGGGAATGCTGAGTCGTGAATACTGAGGGGAGTCTCTGTAGGAATCTGTGCGAGTGGTAAAAGAAAACAAGAGTTGATGAGAGCCTGTTCCAGGCTTTCAGATAGTGGAGAGTGGCACTTTCCACTATCTAAACGCCTGAAACAGGATAGGAGTTGATGAGAAAATAAGATGATTGAGCTATAAAAACTCTTCTGTTAGAAATGAAAACAAGACTATACAAAGACAGAACCTCAGTCTACTGTTGACTGGTTTGTTCCAAGCCTCAAGCTCCATGTTTGCTTAAAATGCGTAAAAATGCTCTACTACAGCGATAAGGGTGAAATTTGCAAGTCAATAAACATCTCAAAGATCCACATTTTCTCCCGGCTTGTATAAACGTCACGTACGAAAATCAGCAAGTTTTTTTCAAAGTGCACGATTAAATCGACTTCCCGAACGGTAAAAAACGTATGAAGGAAACCTCAGGTCGTTTCCAAAACGAGAGGTATTTCCGAAACGGATTGCAGTCCGTTGCAATATTGTTCGGAAAGTAACTTCCACAACTAAAAGTCATCGTTGTAAGAGAACCGTCGGTTTCGGTATGACTTAGCTCACTTCTTAGATGAAGTGAGCTAAGAGCCTAAGACCACAGAAATAACTTGTTATTGTTAGTAAGACTTATATTCAACTGCACCGTTTTGATTTGACTCAGTTTTTATGAAATCGCGACTAGAAAAAAAAAACTAAAGCCTCAAAATACTATGATATAAAACACATTTCCTGTTCCGTCAGTTTCAGTTTATAATAAGTGAACTCCTGAAAAGCTTTTTGAGTTTTTTTCCAAGAAATAACAGAACTCAAGAAATATTATACTCGATTTTCTTTTGCCAAAGTTGATGACCAACCTGTTGCTTTTGCGGCTGTGATTCATTTGATGAGTGAGAAAAGAGACTGGGGTACCACCCTTTCCAATGGTCTTCTGATGGCCATTCATCTTCAGGCTTGGGGTTCCCTTTAACATCCTACAACAAATCACAAGATAACACTAGCACCATCCAACTTTTAAAGCAACGTTAAAAAGATCGAAAGTGTAGTCTAGATTTTAAAACCTTTCCGCTTTAAGTGATAAGCAATGAAAGGGTAAAAATAACCCCGGGGGTTAACTACTATGAGATGGGGACGTGAATGCTCATCGGACAACTAGAAATTTACCATTAACCCTTTAAGCCCCAATATAAAAATACAAATTCTCCACACTAGTGTCCATACATTGCCTTATAGAATTAGTTGAGAGAACTTGATAAAAGATCAAAGTACTTCTCCTTTGTTCATCAATTTAGTACTTCTCCTAACATCTTCTTTTGATAATGTTTTGATATTGTTAAGAGAAACTTCATGTTGATCACTCTTGGGACTTTAAGACCAATCTGAGTAAAGCTCAAGATGATTCCACCCCGAAGAGAGGTCATTTCTACAACACATAGTCAAAGAAGTACTATAGAAATTTCTGCTTGCGACAAAGACGTTTTTCTTCTTTAATTTAGTTATATTTAGGACTAAACAAGAGATTTTGCTCATTTCGCAATCTGCTCCGAAGCCTTGCTAAGTTCAAAGTCTTAAAATCCACATGCCCTATTAAAACAGTAATTTCGTCCCGAATGGTATTGCGCGTACCGCTGCGCTAAAAAACGTTCTAGTGAGTGTCTCAAAATTATGGCTTCCTTTCACTAGCGACAGAGTCGGAGTCGGAGTCATAATCAAAAGCACCAGGGGCGGATCCAGGATTTTTTTTAGGAGGGGGTGCACTCGTCTCTTGCTCTACTTCAACACCAATAAACCACGTAGTTCTTTTTTTTTTTGCAGAATACCAGTTGTATTAGAAAACCGCAGGTGATCTCAGGGAGGGGTGCGCACCCCCTGCACCCTCCCCCTAGATCCGCCCGTGAGCACAGAGCTTGTGTTCGATTCCGCTTAAGTTCCGCTTATGATCTAGTGAAAACCAGATTGTCAGAGTCGGAAGCAGAAGCGGAAGAACCAAACAAATCACAAAGCGTGAGAACGTGCATCGGGATTAGTTTCTCCTTCTGCTTCCGATTCTGACAACCTGGTTTTCACTAAATCATAAGCGGAACGTAAGCGGAGTCGGAAGAAATGGAAACGTTCTAATTCTTCTGACTCCGATTCCGGCGTGCTTATGATTCCGCTTATAACCTGAGATCAGGCCCAATTTTAGCGGTTCTCATGCATTCTCTCTAACGGCTACCGCTAAAAAAATCGCCTTGGCCGCCCGAATGTAATTTTCAAAGCAAAGCTCAGGTTAGATCAACTCAGCCAGATCTCAGGTTACTCTGCTTACGCCTCTGATTTTTGATTTTCACTAGGTCATAAGCGATCTTACGACTCCAACTCCGACTCTGTCGCTAGCGTAAACCACCCTTTAGGTTGCTGCCCCAAATTTCCGAATTTTTGTGCCGTTTAATAGTGATTAGAAATTACCTACATACAGAAAAAGCAAGGGCCTCACGAACTAAAGTTCTGTTGAAAAAAGGAGTTAAAAATACGAAAAAGAGGGGAAAACGACAAAAACCAACAAAAAATACATCTGACTTCTTGGACGCAACTCTAAAGGTGCTCGCAGCGTAAAGACCACTTTCTACTTTTCAACCCCTAAAATTTGCATGCACGACTTTCAAAACAACAAAAGCAAATAATATACTCTAAAAATGTGCGAATTATTGAAACCTTGGAGCCCTTTCTTCTATTAACTCTTGGTCTGATAAAATTCTCACCGATTGGTTTTTCTTTAGTGGGGGTTGGGAGGGGAGGCGCAAAAAAACCTGCGTCTCGTCTGAGGAAACGCTGGCTGCGCTGCCAAACGAAAGGCGGGAAAATTCTACCACGTGGGTAGTTCTATAACCAATCAGCTGTCGCCACGTCACAAGCCTTCTCTCACGCCACTTTGAATGACAGTTTGTTGATTTTGTAGTTTGTTGTTCACTTCAGTTGAGTTTGCTCATCAAAGAAAACTTTCAACGCAAAAATACTCAAGATGGACACAAAAAGAATGAGAAAACACCGTAAAATGTCAGTTCGGAGAAAAATTCGTCTTATGTGCTCAGGAATTTGACAAAGGATTTGTGCAAGCTAAAGGAAACTACATTTATGAACTTCAACTCATTCATACACGACGCAAAGTGACGCAGGATTTGTTGTCTTCGTCGTAAAACTGGAAAACAAGTAACCGACAAAAATAGACACCTTGTACCATGTAGGAGTGCTTTTACCTGTGATTAAATTATGGTGTTAAATTTCATCCAAAGTGTTTCAGAGGAATTATATTTTTTGTGGAACGCTATCTCAAAAACCTACGCTACAGTGCGGTTATTTACGGAAGGACAAGCATTTACCGAAACGCAAGGGACATTCAAACAAAAGGACAGCTCTAAAAACACTTCTTCGTTTTCTGGACTCTCAAAGAAACTTTACTTGAGTTTAGCTGATTTTACGAAAACCTTAGCGATAAGTGAAACTGTAAGTGGTTAACTTTTTTTCTCTTGATTTTTGCAAATTTTGTTTGTTTGAATTGAACATGAACGGAACATTTTTTGATTTTATGCTTGTTATTCATTATTTTATGAAAAGTAATGAATTAAAATTGATTGAGAAATTAATACCATGGAATTTTTGTGTTAATACATATATCACAAGTTTGTTAAGTGAGCTCATATCGAGTTGAACCAGACTCAAAGAGAAATTTCATATCTGCTCGCTGATCCATTATTTTGCACAGTGAAAACACCTTCAGATTAATTTACTTGTTCTCGGTGAAAACATTTTTTTGGATTTAGTTTAATCAATTAAAAGGAATGAATTTGAAATGATACTTTGAATCTGCTAAAGTTTGTGATTTGATTTCAAAAGTAAATCTCGTGTTTTGTCGAGTATAAAAATGACAAAGAAATGAAAATGGCGAAAGGCAAGAGCTGAGTAGAAATAAACTGTAAACAAAGAATAAAGAAACAAATTGCGATAAAATTGGAAAACTTACGTGGTAGAATGACTCCAGATAAGTGATGTTGCCGTGCTGCTTGATGGCTGATGACAGATCCATCACCTGCTGTGGAGTCATCTTCACATATGAAAGCTCCAGATACTTCAGGTGAGGAGCGCAGCTGAGATGTTTAATCAAGCTGTCTACTCCTGCACCCAGAAGAGGATTCCATGACATGTTGAGCGACTCCAAGTTTGGTGCTTTTTTAAATAAATTGCTGATGAACTCCACAGCAGGTGATGATGTTACATTGATCTGCTCGAGTCTTAATGCCTTCAGTTTGTGTGTTACTTGGATGCTCCTCAGCAGAGACTCTGTTACCTCAGCATCAAACACTTCACGGTGGTCACCCCAAACTATTATCCTGTGTGGAGCGGTGATAAACGGCATCATCTCACTCATCAGTTCCATTTCTGACCTGTTCACATCCTGAGCTACAATCCTCCAAACCCTGGAGAGACCATGACGCTTTGAACAACAGCTGCTGCTGCTGTCTTCACTTGACTCATCACCATTCATGTTTGTCTTCTTTGTTGTCTCTTGTTTATTAATAAGCGCCTTTATTATATCACAAGGAAAAGGAATGTACTGATCTTCATATTTAACAATTTTAGCTAAATAAAGGTGAGTGTTGTTTTCTTCTTTCTTTAAAAAAAATTCACCAATCCTACGCCATGTTGAGTTGCTTAAAAATTCTGATGCTTTCTTTTCTCCTGCAGAGCTAACAATAACTGCGTTTAATTGTTGTGTTAAAATGATTAAATTACTATAGTCCTGCTCTGTATACCAAGAGGATTTACGAAAAAAAACGTAGTTGGGTGTTTCGGTAGTTTGAACTAATTTTTCCTCTACGATAATATTTAGCTGCTTTTCATCAATTACAAGAACTCCTCCTAAAGAGGAAAGAAATGTAGGAAAGAGGTTTTTTCTTGTCTCAGCTGAGCAGTAGAAAAATAACTGATTACAAAAATTAATAAAATCTGTTTGTTCTTCCGACAAGTCCCACTGTGACGGTGTTTCGTTGTCGAATTTGAACTCTTTCAGTCCGCTCTTCATTCCAAGTTGAATCAGAATGTCGCGCGTGGCTTCTTCTGACAACTGAACAGCAAATTTTAAAACCTCGAACATCTCTCGGATCTTTTTAACTGAGTCCAACTTTAAGAGGGAATTTGTACTTTCAGCCTTTTTAGATGTCAGCTCTTCTTTCAGGAAATTCCCAGCCAGGTATTCTTGGACGGATTTGTGAATAAAGTACACGCCTTTTTCACGATTCAAACTCGCCATATTTAAAACCTGAAAAAGGCCGACTTCAATCAGCCTCTCGATCAAACTGTAGCCAGCAGGTAACTGACTAACAGGGAAATAAAGCTGGCCTTGCAAAAGGGCTTCAAAGGCCAAGCGTCCTAATGCGTATAATTCATCTGAGTAATCTTTGGCAGAAACCGATTCTTCAGCAGACTGTTTTTCACACATGTGATCAAACATGGTCGTCATGAACTGGGCGAAGATGTCTGCGCGTTCTTTTGGTAGTTCTTCACGTGTTGTTCTTGTCCAGAGCAAGCACAACATTAAGAGCAGTAGGGGAATTTGTGCTAGTTCACTTAGGTTGTGCTGCCATAAGTACATAAAAAACTCTTGAATATCTTTATCATCTTTCAAAAATCTACGAGCGAACTCTTTTTGGCGTTGACGATTGAAGCCGTCAATTTTGAATTGAGCATCACTACAATTTCTCAACTTCTCAGCTTTCATTTCTCTTGAAGTAATTACAACACAACAATCTCTTAATTGACTTTTTTTCCAGATTTTGAAGACAGGAGACTCGTTTTTTGAACTGTAAACATATTCATCGTAGCCGTCCAAGATAAGCAAGACTTTTTCTTGATGGCGACAAATGTAATCATACAGGTTGTCTACGGAAATTGCACCATTACTATCCAGCACTTCAGAAGCCCTCAGAATGGACGGAACATCTTGGAGATTACTAACATCACGTAATCTCACCAGAAGGACAAGATCAAATGCTCCTAATGTTTCTGAATATCTCTGCTGGGACCAGTCAAAAGTTGCTTTCTTCGTGAAAACAGTCTTGCCGATACCTAGGTGACAATAACAACAAACTGTCAAAAGATTTGTTTTACTTTTATTATGTGAAGTCACGTGAAGTGGAATCTAAAATATTGAAATTTCAATTGATAATTTTCATAAAACTTAAAGAGAAATTATTTATTCTATTAATTTTTTAACGGAATTATGTTTAAACTTTTTACATCATATGCAGAGTGAGCAAGATATCGGTGGCCTTAAAAGATGTTTCCCTTCCTCTAAGGGGGCATTTTGGAATTCTTAGCTTTGATTAGAGACTAGAGTTATATTCATCAAAAATGGTATCTCATTTAATATTCAAAATTATTCATGATGAAGACAATGGAAATAAATCCTTCATAAAACTGTGAAATACCCAGACTATTTAGGGCCCAGTTGTTCAAGGCTGGGTTAAGATAAGCCAGGGATAGCGCAAAATTTGAATTCAGACACGAAAGCTTAAATACCAAATTTTAGTTTACCGGGTAATTCTTTTTGTCTAAAATTTGATGATTAGATCATCAAAAAAGAATAGAGAAAAATCCAAGAAAATGCTTTTGATAATTAAAAACAAAAAGAAACCCAGGTTAACAGTGGCAGATCCAGATCTTGAGACAAAATTTACCCCAGGTTGCAAGCACTGATCAGCCTTCAACCAACTGGGCCAAACTGCTGTCAGTCATCAGTCGATTGTGGCAAAGCTTTAATTTGGTGCGATTTTATCCTTGGAAGATTTCTTTTTAGTTTTATTTTTTTAGCTCTCGGTATTAAATAAAGTTGAATTTTAGATAAAATTGAGTCACAATGTTTTAACCATTATAATTTACGACACTAAATTGGAGCCTAGAGTGTATGTCATGATTGCTATGTAAAGCCAATAAATATATTGTTTATTATCAGACTGATTAAACAGAAAAACTTTGTTTTTTAACTTTTATTTTTTTATAACAGCAACAGACCAAATGCTACATTTGGTTTGACAGCATGGTAACAATCTATCCCACTTGGAATGTACAATATGTCAGCAAAACACTCAAGAAACCTGCACATCACTAGCTGATACAATGCATTTAATAAATTGCTAACACCTTGTGTCAATTAATTTAATGCCAGTGGACCAATGGTTTCTGTGTTACTGTTATTGTATGTGACTTTTGCATGTACTTATATTTTATCCTCCTGTGAGTTAAATTAAGACAATTAAATTTTTTACTTCATTCACTCACTTACCTGGTTGTCCATAAACCAAAATTCGCTTGGGTGCATGACGAGGTTCTCTGTGAGCAAAAATCTCAGTGTAGTGGTCAAGGTTTTCTTGTACCACTCCCCTGGGTGTCCTGTCATCCATGATCCAAGACAAGTCTGTGTAGATCTTGTCAATATCAACAGCAGAGTTCTGGTCCCATGGAATGATTCTGACTTTACTACTGGTTTCATAAAGTGATCGCAGCTGTTTCTGGCACTCCTCAAGGCATACAGAATCTATTATCAAGAATTTTTTATCATTTCCAAGAAGTATTTTTTAATAACTATATATTTTTTTACAAGAGGGGTACTGGACAGTCAATTTGCAGAAATATCATGAATAAAATATCATAAATTAATTAAAGGAAACAGCACCAGGAATGACCCAGTGATCATTTGATATTGTCCAGTGGAGTTAAATCTGTAAGTTTTAATGTTCTTTCCTTTTATAATCTAGCTTTTTAGTGGGGTTTGGTGGATGGCAGAATAGAATATATCATACTGACAGAAAGTTTGGGAGTGGACCCCCTTCCACAACATCACTTTCAATAATTATTAAATTGGGCATTTCCTAAATTAATACACAAAGAAAACTGAAACATTGAAAAGACAAAACGTTTATTTTGAAGAAGATAAGGGAATCTTGTTTCACTTAACAATGTCTGTCGCACCAAAATGAAGCCTTAGTTATAATGTCCAACATTATGGGAAAACATGGGGCAAGGAAAGCAAAAAGGGAAAAGTTGAGTGGTTTGTGTTACTTTTCAAAACAAAACTGAGATTAATTAGCATAAGGAACAAAAGGCAGCACGGTGTTCAATTTAAAGTATTGTACTTCCTTGAATAAATAGCTGTCCCCCGAGTAATCGCCTCCCTCGAATAATCTTGACCCCTTTGATGGAAATATTTAAAATAATCACCTCCCTCGAATAATCACCCCCCTCCCCACCCCTCATGCCATCTTCACTTTCTTTTATCCCCTTCCTGTCAAGTTGAAGTGGAATCAGTGATCCAGCAAAACTGATCAGTGATGATTCAAGCTCTGAAAATTACAATCTCAAGGAACCAAATTTGGAACACTTAAAAGGCCCATATTCATGCAGTTTATTTGATGTGATAATTTTTTGATATAATGGGATAATAAAACAAAATATTTGGGGTACGACTTCCAGTGAGCAACATTTGAAATAAACGCCTCCCTCGAATAATAGCCCACTTTTGAGGCGAAGAAAGAAATAATCACCCCGGCTAATATTATTCAAGGAAATACAGTGTTTTGGGCAGTTTTGGTTCTTTTTGGCCAGATACTGACCAGAAAGCCGCCTGACTCATGGCTTCAAACGGCATTTGTCAGCAATTTTTTTTTTTAAGGGGGGAAGGGATTAAATATCAGACAAAAAGAGACTGCTCTTTTCGGCAAAGACCTGTCTTATTGCAATAAAAAAAAATTATTATTTGTAAATAAAAAAGTGCAAGAGGGCTCAGACGTGACAAACAACTTTAAAAGATTAATGTTTATATTAGTGAAACCAGTGTTCAATCATTTAATCTGGAAAAACTCCTGGATTTATAGTGTAAAAAATTGACGGAATATAGTACCTGGCATCTGTTTGTCTGGTTGATTCTTTGCTGTCAAGTCTGTGAAGAAAAAAAGAGTTATAAATTTGAAAACCCCTCAAGACAAATTTTACTTTTGGCCTTTGTTATTTGGTCTTCTAATATTAATGTATGTATTTCAGTTTCAAACAGAGAGAAAAACTTGAACCATTGGGGGCATTTAATAGATAGGAGGCGTTTATTCTTGTTTAAGTTTAACAAACTCAAAAAAAACTTATACAGTATGCTTTCAGCGAAAAGTCACTCCATCTACTGATATTTGCAGGCCGTCGTTTGACAATCGTTTTCAAGGATGCTATTGAAGCAGCCAACATAAAAATAATTATCTGAACAGAAAATTCATCACTATTAATAATTTATTATCACTCATTAGAACAGGGATGTTGCAATTTTACCTTCATAGTGAGGCCATTCTTTAAAAACAACTGGATCATTTAACATGTTGGACACAAGAGAAGCTGCCATGATGGAAGCAAATGACTTCCAGGACTCATCAGGAGCGTTGCTATCATCAGAAAAATGTGATATCCCTTTAACAATCACCCATTCAATGTTCATATCATGAGCTGCAGCAAACAGTCCTGTAAGTGGTATAAGAAAAACAGATTAACAAAAGATGATTCTAATTACAGCCTTGGCTCTTACTTAAAAGCTTAATTTGTCCAATCCTTTGTGAACATGCAAGAATCTAGCAAAGCTGTAAATTTTTCTCTGCAGTGTAATCACTAAATTCAATTGTGTTTTTATAATAATTAAGCTTAACAATTTATGTTCCCTTGCAAAATATTTAACTTGTGGACTACTTCTCCAAAATATTTTTGTGTAAACGGTTGACGTATGAATTATTAATACCATAAGAAACCAGCTGCATGTTTGCACCCTATTATAGATCACTGACAACATTGCCAACCATGGTCAACAAACCAATAAAGTACTGTGATTTTCCATGGTCACAAGCTGTTGCCAAAAAGGACAATTTAGAGCTCTACTCTAGACCTCAAATTGAATGCTATACATCAAATTGTTGCAATAGTTAAATATGTAGATAATCTTACCTTCCCCTTCTCTTTCAACTGCAATCACGCGAGATTGAGATATACGGCGTTGCTTGGTGATGAATTGACTATCACTGAATATGTCACTGTCACGGTGTACCTGTACTGTTTCTTCACCTACTGGATCTTTTAATGGTGGATTCCAGCCTTCAATTGAAAACAAGTTAAGTTTGCCAATATTTCTTCTTACTGGAGCTGTGAATTGTTCAGTTGAAAGTTTAGAGGATAACACTACATCCCCTAGTTTGGTGGCTTGTGTGTTTAATCCCATGCAAAAGCCGACTAAGAAAGCAGCCTTGGGTCTCAGTTCCTGCACTGCATTCTTAGCAGTGACTAGAGAGCCACCTGGAGCAGAACAGCCTTCATAACATCTCATTAAAGCAACTTTCAGTGCCTCTTCTCCAGTTTCACCCATGGTCCCAAAGTACACGAATCCCAGATTCTGGTGATAACTTTTAATAGAATTTTTCAAGAAAGCATAACAAGCTAAAAACTCGCAGTCTTCTACTGTCAACAAAAGAATGTCAACAGGAAGGTGTACATCACTCCATGGTTTTGACTTGTTTGGAAGATCACTCATTTTAGGCACTTCAATACTTAGAGGAGGAGGGGCATGATTTCTTGACATCTGATGATCAGGATCAGCACCTCCTTTTCTTTTAAGGTCTTGATGCTGCGCCATTGAGTCTCTGCTTTAAAGGTTTCCCTAAGGAGTGTAAATAATAATTTAATAAGATCACCACATTAAATATTACTTGAACAACTTAATGAAAAATATATTATCAATAAATAATTGCCAACGAGCCATCTGAGCAAAGACACTCGGATGGCGAGGCGGCAGCAGAATAGAGCCGCGCAAGACTGGGCAATAGGCAGAAAAATTCTCGATCGAGCTGAAAAAAGTGTAACCCAATGTAATGTAGATTCCCCTGAGACCAAGTGGTCAGTTGTGAACCAATCAAAAGGAAGTACCTGGCACATGGGCTCAAGTTGAATAACAAACAAAAATTTCACACACTTCCCGCCGTCGCGATTTCCTGTGTTTATTTACCTAAATTTTTTCGTCAAACCCGGCCAGCGCAGTCAAGAGACATGAGCACTTGATATATTCTATTAATTTTAGGGGCCATAATGTTAAGTTTTAACGAAGAGAAGTTTGTAAAACAGCGAAAGTGTTCTATGTGCAGCAAGCAATATTCTCACCACTAAAAGGATCAGATTACACGAGGAGATAAGGAAAGCTTGACACGACGAATGCAGTCGTCGCCTGTTGGAAAATCTGGTGTTGGGGAAAAAATCTAACCAGCAAACAAAAACAATGAGAACAAAAACGAATTACAAGGCTAAAGCGAATGACAAAGGAAAAGAAAACAACGCCATTTTTTCGAAACGTGGCCGAGTTCAGTACAAAATTAAACACCGACAAGTGCCGTACATCGCATGTCCTTGGAAACATTTCAGATGGCCCAGCGAATCATTCTAAGTTTCAATCCGATAACAAAAAGCCTCGGGAAATTTAAAAGGAGGTTTAAATGATTAAACTGTGCAAATATTTATCAACAATGTGAAACCGAACTGACAGTAGAATTGTAGCTGGACTTAATAATATTCCCGATCGCTTCCTCTGCAAAGCTGACTTTATTCTTTCAAGGCACTTCACACTTTTACATAACAGGTTTGTAAAGCCACCAGACTGAATCTGAGAACGTTTCAAGAAAATAATCCTTGCAACAGGAAGGGACCAAGAAACGATCAAATGGAAAAAAAGGAATTTTATTCCTAAGCAAAATACGCATGATTTGCTCGTTGGCACTCTATCGATAGGTATATACCTAGTATTACTTCAATTTTATGTCACAGCTATATTTTTAAAGAGTCATCAGCCTCCCATTCGTATATAAGTGGACATCACTGTGACGAAGAGAAGTGTCCACCTACAGGTAAAAAACACATGTTTGCATCACAAAGGTCAAATGCCGAGTTTGTAAGTGCTTCAGTCCATGACTGGTTAGTGTCACTTTTAGAAGAGGTGTCCACTTCACAAACGTCAATATGCAAAAAGTGCTTGAAAGTTCCTGGGTCCGTTTCACAAAGGTCAATATATGCAGTGTTTTATATGTAAGTGTCTGCAAGGCTGCAGGGCTAAGCAATTTACGAGAGATTTGCACTTAAGGAAGGTCGACCAAAAATGTACTCTTAAGTATTGGCGACTGGGACCATGATTAAGTCTATGTTAGAGAAAGGGTCCATTACTAGCAAAGGTTTGACTCAATACAATGAGGAACAAACAAATACTGATCAAGGCAATAGAAACATTTAGAATGTTAACAGTTTCTGGCCTGTACCATTTAACTGTGTACTGTAATCAATAGTATATCAATGAATGCATCTAAATTAAACGTATGGTATGGTATGATACTCTAGTGATGCAAGAAAGCTTTAAAACTTACAATGTTAACTCCCTTTGACATTTTTTACTGCAATCAATTTAATAATTAACTCATGCAACTAAATTACCTTCTCCTTTGATAGCTTCACAACATCTAACTTATCGTATGTGTTTAATTTAACTGACATAAAATCCTGAAAATAATAAAAAGATGGTAAGGATGACATCAAAATATGAGATATAATCCTATTTTGAAGCCATCCAAATTACTACAACAACCCCATGGATTGCCCCCAGGAGGGGAGGGGGTACTCAACAAAGTTCTATACAGGGAGGCTCCACCCTGAGGTCCAACCCCTTACCCAGCTATGAAATACCATTCTGACAGAAAAGGTACCCAGCTCTTTTGTATACCTTCTTTTGACAAAATATGGTACTGTCCCTTTCACATACCTATAGTTTAGAACTTTGTTTCCCTTTTTAACTGCTGATAAGGCACTTTAAGCAACAAGAAGACGCCCGAAGGCGCTTACGCGGGATGTGTTGGTGTAAGAAAGAATTACCGTTATGTTGAATGGCAATGGAAAGTTGAGTAGTGTATGCAACAAATGTGTGCAGGAGAGACGGAGATGTTCTGTTAAGGACTAATACACTAGAAGATGAGTTACACACAAGGGTTCCTTTGCTACTCAAAACAAAACTTACATCAATATTACCACCATATATGTTAGGAGTATGGGATAGTTCACTAAAATTTGCATTCCTTTACTAATGTCCTCAAAAAATGCACTTCCACATTCAACAATAACATGTAATGTAACATACTTCCAATAACTACAGGGCTGCAAGGCTGTGCTCTAGGGAAGATTTCAGAGAGCCGTTCGGGCTCCCCAAGCATTTTTAACTGTGGTGCTGGGCGCCCAAATTAATAAATCAATCAGCCGTTAGTTAATTATTAAAAATTAAACAAATTATTTTCTTAACAAGTCAAGCAGAATTTTGTGAATATTTTTTTCATGAAACATCACATCCCTGTGACCTCCTGAGCGTGCGAAAAAAAACCCCACATGTTGTCATATGAAAGTAAGTTTTCATGCCATGAGAAACATGGGCAACGCCGCCGAATATTTCATGTTTTTTAAATGGAAAAGTAAGATTCTGGTCTGTTTATGTATTTTTTATAAAAAAAGAAAATTGGGGTCAAAAATAAGGGCATTCTTCTTTTTACTATTGTTTTGATTTAGGTTGAAAAGAAAATTTGTTTATTAAGATTGACTGAGATCCCGTGGAGCTTTCCAGGAAAACTGTTATGATTTCAACGAAACCGCGGTGCCCCCGGGGGGTTACGTGGGGTAATTTTTGCTGGGTATGTGCCGCTGGCCTCTCAGAGCCCCTAGACCCCATATTAGTCACTCTTGGGCAAATATGTAATTTTTGCGATCCCAACTTAGTCACTTTCTATTTATTTATCTACCTTATCAATCCTTTAAATAGGCCATCAAAAAGTGAATTGACCCATTTTTTAATAAATTGAATGAAGAACACTTTACTTTTCACCTACAGTACAAATATCGCGGTACGTTTGCCAACCGTCATTATGAACAACTCTCTTACCCCAAAAATCCGAAAATGTGCGGCCCCATTCTAGTAACTCTTTTGAAAATGCAACCCCCCCTTGTAGAATCAGACACTATGTAGAATCTATGCAAATGCTATGTCACAAAGCTATGTAAAACCTATGTTAATCAGTCATACATTGCTTTAACCAGATCCTATGTTGTTTCTATGCCAGGACTATGTTTTTTGTATCGAAAATGCTATGTTTTCGCTAGTCAAACGGAACCTACTCAAAAGCTATGCAGTTTTTAAAGGTAGGAATAAAGGAAGAAATGACATAGTTTCCACATAGCCTATACATACAGTTTACTTAGCTCGTGGAAAGAGATTTTAGACTTCATAGTCAACCTCATAGAAAAATCATAGAAAATAAATAGCCTTCACATAGGACTGAAATAGAGTTTACATAGTAAAATGGAAAAGGGAACAGTTGATTAAATAGCTTTTGAATAGGGTTTGCTTAGAATTTAGATAGCCTAGAAATAGTAAAAACATATGAAAAACATAGCCTTTTTAAAGGTGACATATACTTTGCATAGCATTAAAATAGGGAAAACACAGAACAAATAGTCTTTGCATAGGTTTGAAATAGGATTTTAATAGTATTTGAATAGGTAAAACATATCACATACACAGGCTTTAACTAGAGTTCAAACAGAAATTACATAGAATTGACATAGTCTCTTATTTATGTAGGTTTCGACCTGCTTAAGCAAATGTAGTGTTTAAAATACGTTCGTAAAAATCACCAAAATAGTAAAAATAGTATAAACATATGAATTAGAATACCTTTTACATTGGTAAGAAATAGGTTTTGCAACGAAAAATTGAAAAACTATGACAATATAATACCACGAACACTAATAGTAACACAAATGCAGTATTTTCATGGAGGTTTCAGAATCGAAACCCCAAGTTAAAGTTTGCTTAATTTGCTTATCGTGTAGACTTCTTTTTTCGTCGCGCTCTTCAGTGCCATACAGTTTCCTTTTGACTGCAACGAATAAGTATCTGCAAACAGAAAAGTGGAGATTTTAAGGCAAATGAACATAAAAACAACCTGACGTTTTAGAATTGAAACGAAGGAGTATCAAAGCGTGATCGAAGGTGACCGATCCTTGTTCAGATACGCGCAAAGGGGAGACAACACAGGCAAATCGAAACTTAATTGAGAAAAACATCACTTACCAACGTCAGGAATACTTTTTGTTGAACCTGGCAGGAAAAAGACTGGAAATTGAAGTAAAAAGAAGCATCTTCTTGTAAAAACGCACGCTTACAGCTCGTCTTCTTTGACTTGAAAGCGCCCGCGTGGAAACAGACAATTTTCACACCTTTTCATTGGTTGAAAAGGCCCACGTGACGATAAAACGCAAAATGCGCATGTGTTGAACTCACGGGCTTCCCTGGGAACTAGTGGAAACAAAATGGCTGACGAACACCCACCCGACTTTTCCAAGGACTGCAGGTAGCGTTTCGCAGTTTTGACCATGCAGTTATATTCAGGAGACGTCCACAATGAAGACGAAAGATCGAACCCAATGTAAAAGAAGAAAATGATGCATGGAAGTATCATTTCAAGTGAAGAATATCTGGGGAAAAGCTAGAAAGGAAAGTTAAGACAGGGATGATGGATGTAGCGATTCAATGCTTAACAAAAATCTTCTCACTAAGAAACTATCTGCAAGCACCAAAAAAAATTATAGTACATGATTTTTCAGTGTTTTAGTTTAAAACAGTACTTTTTAGTTTGGAAGTATGCTTGGCCTTCTGTAAGCGCTACCATCAACATGCCTAGTCACTTAAAAGCCATGTTGGAATATCACATAGGAAACGCATAGACTACATATATTTTTCATATGAGTGACATAGGAAAAAATATGTTTATGTAAAAGCTATGTAGCCTTTATCTCATGATAAAGCTAAATGAAAATGTCACATAGTGAATACATAGGCTGCAAATATGTTTCGTCATATAGCATAGAATATACATAACACTATGTAAAAGCTAAGAAACTTGTTGGAAATAAAATTGAAGATCGAGATGCTATGTAAAAGCTATTTTACTTTGATGCATAGTGAATACATAGGATGCTAATCGGAAGGAAAAGTAGAACTTTCTACTGCATAGTAAATACATAGCTATGTCAAGACTATGAAAAGATTTTGAATAGTATTTGCATAGGTATTCAAAAGCTATGTGCTTTTCAGATAGCCTAAACATAGTTTCAACATAGATTTTGCATACTTTGGACTATGTTGTTTGGTGTGTTACATAGTTAATACATAGGCAGTAGTGAACATAACATAGCTGAAACATAGTCCAACATAGTAAACAAATAGCATGAGCATAGGTTTTGCATATGTCTGGTTCTACAAGGAAAAATGCGCGGCATATCTCCCCATTAGCCTCTTATAAGGAAGTGCCCCCCCCCCCTCCAGCTGCCCCCAAACTATTATCTCTTTTGAATAGATCATCTTGTTGTAAAGTCGTCGTTTAAGTGCATAAACGGAAGTATTTTATTTCTATATTATCAGTGAAGTGTTCAGGACAAATGTGGATTCGGTTAGCTTTCGAGTATTTATTTTTAGTACTTGATACATAATGCCTAGTCACGACGTGAAAGACAATGCGGGATTTTATAGATTTATACCCCCTTTATACCCGATTCTAGAACAATTACAATAATAGTCGTCTCTTTTCTTTTTCATACATCGTATTTTAATGGAATAACAATCTTAGTTATGTTTTAGCCTCGCAGACACAGCAGTAGAAAAAGGTAGAAATATTTAACTAACAGAAAAGACCGACTCCCGTGTTTATTCAGCGATTTTTCAAAATACAAAACAATTGTTTTGCGTCGCCGACCGTACTTTATGCCTGTCAGAGCAAAAGTAACAATTTGTTTAGAAAAACTAACTAGTGAACCATCCTAATTTGAAGGAAAAATTTCAATGTCATTATGAAAAGCTTTTACTATCGAAAACTGTGCAGCTTGTCACGTTCATAGTCAAGGATTATGTTACATGTGAATTCACGTGAAACGACCTTTGAACATCAATACAACGCGTCTTAAAGCTTTTTGATCCTACTTACAAGTCCTCCTCAAGAGTTTCGTTGTGAGCGGAGCGTTCTTTTTAAGCCGTGAAGCCACCGAGCGAGCTACGATTTCGCAAGTAATAAATTCTAGACATTCTTAGCTGTTTGACTGTAAATCAACAGAAACAAGAAACCAACACCAGCAAGTCGCCCGGCTGGGCCACCTAGACAATATTTTCAGTCGCCCGAGGCCAAGTCTTGCGCCGTTCGATCTAGTGCAGAGCCTTAACTCGTCGTCCTCCTAGACCTACGCTGTAATCTTACTTTTCCCTTCTTTCCTGACGCAGTATCTTTTTTCTGCTTGTGCAATCCAACCTGATTTGCTCGTGATTCGAAGTTGCAGCCAATAAAAATCACACAATTTTTTCGGGACGGGCTCGGGATACGGGAAAGTTAAAAAAACAAGGCAATTTTTGACTCCCAAGACGACGAAAGGAATGCGCTACCGAATTTTTAACGCTGGCTGACTAC